CTAAAATATTTATAAATTTTAAAATATTTTAGAAGCCGCTTATGACAATCACACACATATCAAATAAACTGCAATGGCACTGTAAAAACAAGTACAAAAACATTAATTAAAAATCTAATCTTAGTCTTTTATGTTGAGATCACTGACATACGTCAAGGTAGGTACCACATCACTGGGAATTGACTTCACGTAAAAATGGGGAGAGGAGGTCTGTGTGGTCTATGTGGCGATGGCGTGCTTCTTGACGTGTTGGATCATGCAGTCCCGTCGGCGGAAACGGGTTTGGCAGTAGGGACAGGTGAAAGGCGTCTCCCCTGTGTGGCGAAGCATGTGCCTGGCCAGGTGCTCGGAGCGCTTGAAGGCCGCCTCGCAGTGCGGGCACGAGTACGGCCGGCCTCCCAGGTGCTCCGAGCGCCGGTGCTGATTGAGCAGCCGGAAGTTGGGAAAGTGCTGGGCGCAGTCTACGCACTGCAGCTGGGCCTGCGATCCTGTGAACAAACGAGAAAGATTAGTGATAAGTCCTATGGGAGTTAACACTGTGTGGGGTGAGTGGCTCGTGAAGTGGGCGGCGTGAGGTGGGAACTCGCAAGGAGACACACCCTGTGATTATGTTTCTAGAACACTTTATTTCTATAAGAGCACATGTAAAGCAAAGAAAATAAAATCATCAGTAAGTAAGATCATGACCATCAATACCAAAAATAAATTGAGGACCAATTTCCAAAGGCACCAGTATCTGAGCACATTTCGAAGTTTACATTCACAGTAATAAACGGCCATGCCATACAGTCAAATCTGATATTCACTACTAAAAGCTGCTTAGAAACTTTGTTTTTTCTTAAAATGTAGGATGATGAAAAGTGGGAAAAAATAACTTACGAGCTAAAATGTCATTCATGACAAAAACTTAAATTGACAAGCACACTACCCTGACGACACAAACTCTGTCCACTCTGTATAGTCTCCTCACAGCCGTCATCATATGGAACTCTTATCAATTCCAATGGAGTACTAGTAAAAGTAAACTAGAAACAAGAGAAACTGCACTGTGGAAATGAATCACAGAGCTTAATTGTATGGCTGCATTAAAGTACACACAACATATCAAATAAAGACTAAACACAGAGACGAATAACTTTAATCATCAAGCTCTGTATTCCATTTCCATCGTATGACTTGCAGCTCTAAACAGACAACGGCAACAAACGACTTGAAAACAAAACAGACAAACACTCCATAAAGTTTATAGATAACAATTTGAACCAGCAGTACACAGATTGACTCCTAGAAACATTAAGTAAAGAAAATAGACAAGGTTAACTGAAATTCAAATCAACCAGAGTAAAAATAATTCATGAAGGTCAACCCGTGTAAAAGTAATTTAGGATTGTCCACCTGTGTACAAATGGCACAAACAATAAGAAATTTAAGTTTTAAAAATTAGAAATCAATCTTAAACCACTAACTTTAATCTCACTACCATGTGAAGTAAAATCTACCAAACACTACTTGGAAAAACTAGGTAAAAGCAAGGAAAAAGAAAATTTAAATTGGTTCACATCAATTCATCAAGGAAAAGGCACAGTAAGCTCTTAAAATATATCTTATTCTATAGCAAGACACCAATGCGTTCATGTGCCAGTTGAGCTTTCTATTGTTTTTAAAAACAGCAGTCGCATAGCTTTGTTATTCTTGGTCACTGGTTTTCTTTCACCCCCCCGTCTGAGGTAAAGTGAACCATAAATTCCTACCCTATCTTCGCCCGAACTCCCCTCTACTTCTTCTTGTGGGACTTCATGTGACGGATCAGGTGCTCCTTACTGATGAAAGTGTTGTTACAGTACCCACAGTTGAAGGCTCCGTCGCCCAGATGCCCGCGCAAGTGGTGCTCCAGGCCCAACGCGGTGCCGAACTGGAGTGGGCAGCGCCCACACTGGTACAGCATCTTGAGGCTATCTCTTTAAGCGCGGTCGACCGAGCGACCGACCGAGCGACCGACCGGTGGGGGGGGGGG